GTTTAACATGATAAACGCACTTTAGACAGTATGAACTGTAACACAACAAACAGCTAGGCTTACAACTATGGAACATGAAGAGCATTTTGATTGACTATTACAAGCTGAGAAAACGTCAGATAACCATGTCAATGCAATTAACGTTATAACACCTGATGAATAGATCTAATATTTACACATTTGCCCGAGGAGGAATGATGGGGGTAGTTACATTACTATTTTCCATAACAACTAGGCCCTTCCATAACATTATCTGACGACGTTAACAGATAGATAGCGCTAGCTATTTATTGATTAGCAAACCATGTTGTTATGCTAATTGTTAATGGCGATTATGGCGTTATCAGTCATCGTTCGGAAACAGCAAAATAATATCATTGACATCATCTTTACCGTAACATTACCTCTGTCTTTGTCGAGTTTTTCCTCCTCTTCTTTTCTTTTTTTCCTCCCCTGGGCACCAGACAGTTTGGGACGTTTTGACATGTTGAGCTTGTTGACCCATCAAAAAACGACACCGTGTAGCAGGTAAAGTCGGATTATTTGGAAGAGAGGGGAGGCGTCTTAGGCAAGTAGGCTATAATATTATTATTATTATTACTACTACTTAGTAGGCTTTGCTGCTATGCAGTTAAATTAATGTGGTGGGCTTATTCTTTTCTGAAGTCTAGTTTTCCGAATAGTGGAAGTTACACCTTTTTTCTTCCTCCATTTCCGGCGCCCTTAGCATTTGCCTATACTGCCTATTCCACGGGCCGGCCCTGCATCTGCAGGACTCATGGATGGAAGAAGATGCACGCAGCAGCTAATCTAAAGGCGATTAAGACCAGATTATCTGACCAAATCTAGCCCTATACGGATCTTATAAAAGCAACATAGAATCGGTTGAACGTTTTGTTATGTATGAATGTTCACCAGTTTTGGTAAGACTTTCACGATTGACTTTCAACGGATCACCTGGTTGTTTGCTATGAGTTCTCTTGTTTCTGTAAAAGAGGCACATTTTGTAGTTTTTTTTTTTTTTTTCAGAAAAAAAATAGAGCCTACAGTTTTTTCTGTTGTATTGTGCTGAATGTTTGTGGTATTCTAGGTCTCTGTAATGTATGGAAGCAAAGTGTGCATTGCATTTTGCATTCATTTTCAGTATTCTTTGGTATAATGCATG